GTTGTCAGTTTCCTTCCTAATGTATTATGGCCAGAACTAAACACTACCAGTTGTGTGACCCTGGGCAAGTCACTTAACCCTGTTTGCCTCACTGTGCTCATCTGTAAAGTGAACTGGGGAAGGAAATGGCAAACCCCTCTAGTATCTTTGCCAAGAAAAGCCCAAAGGGGCCATGAAGAGTCAGATAATGACTGAAAATGATGCCACAACAAGAACAGAACTAAACACAACATCCAGATATATTCCAACCAGTGTTGAATACAATAGGACTATCGCCTTCTTATTCCTGCAAGTTTTGTCTCTCTTAACGCAAGCCTCTAACAGTGTTTCCTGAATACGTTTCTATCGAGATGATGTGTAGTATGCTCAGAAAATGAAATAATTTCTATTTCTTCCTCCATTGATCTTTACCTGAATGCTTTCCTCCATGCTTTCCTCTATGGTTCCTGGATTATCTTGCATGAGTATACTTTTTTAACATACGATGTTCTCTCTACCCACTCTTTTACCTATGGTGTTTCCTTTTAATAATATACCATTGTAGAGACATTTCCTCATTATGGGTCTGACCAAATGATGTACTATATGCAGAGTATTTTATAAACTATATTAATGTCACCATTATTATCTCACCATGACTTTATGAAATCCATGAGGTCAAATTTGCCTCCTTGCATTATTAGTACCTGTGGTTCATCTTCCTTGTTGCCTATGTTTTGTGAATTTGTGGCCTTTTGTTTAAGGTCTTTGGTTTTACTACTGGCCCCATGGATATATTTTATTTCTTGTGCTTCATGGGTATCTCAATTGCTATTCTTCTTTCTATATTTTATCTACTCGGTATGGTATGTAGTTTGGTCTTGGTTCTTCTTTCCATTTCCTTTTAAGTTTATAGCTCTTTTGATCATATTTGTAAGACACCAGACAATTATATTCTTACCTGCCTTTCTTAGGCACACTTAACTCCTGGTCAGGACACAGTCATTCTTATAATTTAAGTGGTTGCTCATAATTCTTTGGAATCTTTGGCATTGCTTTCTAGGTCCCTTCTGGAAGTATCATTTGTGCTGACACAAATCACCAGATGTGGCTAATAGTCTTCCTTTCTGAGAGTTCTCTGCTCTCTGTTATGTTTTGGATAGTACTTCTGAATAGGAAGTCACCAATTATTAGTATTCTATTCTTCTTCCTCTGTCTTACTGGATGACCTCTAACTGACAATGCCTGTGGTTTTGCTATATCTTTTCTTGGAGGACAAGTAGCTGCTTTCTTCTTAGAGCATCTAGTTTGTTCCTCTTCAGAATTTCAAGTACTTTTTTTTTTTTTAAACTGTGAGTATACAGTAGTGCTTCTTATTTTCTTCCTCTACTCTTTAAATGCTTGATGGAGGTCAGGGGTCCTTTCTGTCTCTTCAGATCTCTGTTTTCCCTACTTTCTCCCTCCTCAACCCTCCTCCCTCCCAGTGAAAGCCCAACTTTTATTTTCTTGTTTGTTTTAGGAACACTTCATTGTTCCTGATATTTTGGAATGTAGAAGGGCATTTCTCTAGCCCCTTCACCTCATTTGGAGGGAGGCTTTGAAATATATATGTACGAGTATGCATGTACTTTGAATAAAGAGAGTAGTCACTTGGCCATGGTATATTTAATGCAAGCCACTCCAATTCTCTCTATTCTCTAGTCTTGCTGGTAGTGAGAGCCTCTTTTCTCTTAATTTAAATTGCTGTGGGTGTGTGGGTGATTATAACCTACCTCCTTTAGTAAGTTGTTAACATCTTTCCTTATTCTTTTATCATCTCTCAACAACTTAAAAGCTACAACCAATTTCTTTGATCTTTTCTCATTAACATCTTACCTTGCCTTACCTTTTCTTACCTTCTCCTTCTTGAGTCTACTGTTTTCTCAATCTTTTTCTTCTTTACATTGAGTCCTTCTTCATATTGAACCCTTTTTCTCCCTCAGCTAGAGTCACTCTCAGCTTTTACCTTTTATCTTTCCCTTTTTTTTTCTTCCTCAGGTTAATTTTTGGCCTTCTTTGGAAGACAAAGCCCTTGAAATCAACTCCATGGTTTCCTCTTTATTTTGTTTGGGATTCTATTCTGCCTATCCTATTCTTTTTCTTTTTGGGAGAGATAGAAACTCAGTGGAGTAAAACCCAGACATGAGAGTTCCCTTCATAAGAAATCTCTCATGCATGTATTAAGACAACACGAGATTTATTGATGGCTGCAAAAACAGAAGTGACTTTGTTAAACATAACAACAACAAGCCATTATATAGCACCTGCTATGTGTCAAGCCCTGTGTCAAGCACTTTACAAATATTATCTCATTTGGTCCTACCAACCGTGAGAAATAGGTGCTATTATTATCCCCATTTTACAATTGTGGAAACTTAGGCAAACAAGAATTAAGTGACTTGCCCAAGGTCACATAGCTAATAAGTGTCTGAGACAGGATTTTAACTCAGGAATATCAAGAAGGGAAGGGAGCTTTCAGCAGAGTCAAATGCTATGGAAAATTCAGGATCCTTGAGGGCAGGAACTATTTAACATGTGCCTGTGCATTCCCAGTACCTGGTAGGCAGTTAATAAATGCTTGTTGAATGAATAAATTTGGGAGTGGAGATGAAGACTAAGAAAAGGCTTTTGGATTTGACAGTTAAGTGATCATTGATGACCTGACAATGCAGTTTCAGTGGAACTACATTATGTTCTCAGAACTTCTGGGAACAGAAGTCATATTGCTAAGGTCAGTTAGTTAGTCAACAAACATTTATTCAGCACCTACTATGGGCCAGACATTCAGTGAGGAGCTGGGGATACAAAAAGAGGCAAAAGACAGATCTTGTCCTCAAGGAATTCACAATCTAATGTGTTGAGAAGTGAGCTAGTGATTAAGAAGAGGAAACAATGAGTATAGGCTATTTTTTTTTTTCTGGAAGTTTAGCAGTAAAAAGGAAAGATGATGAATGAGAAGGGTTTGGTTTTTGAGAAAAGGGAGACCTGAAAATAAATGGTTGTTAAATTGTATCTCCATCTGTTCCATCTATCTATCTATCTATCTATCTATCTATCTATCTATCTATCTATC